AATAATAATATATATATATATATATATATATATATATATATAAACCGAGAAGTTGAAAATAGATCTTATAAGTTAAATTTATCAAAGATTTTTGAAAAATTATTATAAAATCATATAATTAATATGGATCAAAAAATAATTAAAAATAATTTGTTTGTGTTTAAAAATAATTTATTTACGACAATTCTTCTATTATTCTATTATTCTATTCAATGATTAAATATTTAAATATTTAATAATAAGAATTTTTTGTCACCGTAAATTTTCTGTCTCTTTCTATCAAAAAGTTCGAATAAATTTAAACAATAGAAGCAATAGAATAATAAAACATCCGCGTGAAAATACGAAAATAGTTGAAATTGGATGGTAAAAGAATCATTTCTCTTCTTTCTTTAGTAACTCCCTCTTTTTCTGTTGCTTTGCCGCTCTGTTTGTCCCGTATCGACTGTGGCTCTTCAGCTCAATCAACAATATCGACATACACTCTCGAAATATAGAGCATAGAGAAAATATCTCTTTCCTCCATGCGGCCAAGGAAATGGACTCTGATTGCTTAAAACAATTCCTCTTAGTTAAATGATGCTTTTTAAATACAAAAGGTTATTGGGATAGAGTGTTGAAACATGATAAAATGTGTGAAAAAATGGTAAAATGTGTTTTATTCGAATAAAACATCGAGACAATTTTGCTTCTTATTAAAGTATTTTATATTATTTGATAATATTCTTATAATATTTATGAAATTTATGATTATATAATCATAATCTTATACACGCAAAAATGTTAAATTTTTTTTTTTTTTTTTTTTATAAAAATTTTCTATCATTTTGTTACGTGATTAATTAATCAAGTATTTTTTGTAGATATTGTTAAAATGTGCTTAAATTATCGCGAATTCTCATTTTTTCATGATGCTACACACTAGTTGTTAATAGAAATTTAAGGCTGCAATTAATTAATAGTTATTTACCAGGAGTCTGTTTGTAATAGGATGAAAATAGTATTATGAGTAAAAATTACGTAAACACGATGAATGAATCAGGTTGAACTTTCAAATGAAAAACGCAGAGAACGTTCAGTTGATCGCGAGATTTGTTATGTGATGTGTCGATTTCATTGTTGAATTCCGTTTCATATGTTTCATGATATCGTAAATTATATATTGCGAAATATCGTGAGTGTTTGCATCAATGAGACACGTTACGATAATCATCTTACAGAGATTAATTATACATGTATATATATTATATTGAAGTAATTTTTTTATAGATTATTTATTAAAAAATTTAAATAAAGATTTAAATACTTTGAGACAGTTGCAAACATTTAACATTTTTGAAAGCTGATCCATGAAAAATTTTTTCTATTTATATTTTTGTATTTTAAAGATTTATACATTTTGTAAATTAAGTTTCATTAAATAAATTTTATACAATTATTATTATTATTATTATTATTATTATTATACAATTTATATTAATGTTAATTCTTTTTTGTAACGTTGATTTATATAGCATTGAACCACAAGTGAAACCGAAGGAAAATAGTGAAACTTTGCGCAGTACGTGTGCGAGCAACTAGAGGGCAACACGAATCGATTACTATATTGCTAATGGCTTATTTCACTTAACACGCCTTTCCGTGGTGAGCAAATTCGCTGCCTAGAGTAGTGTGGTGCGATTCAAGGTTTTGCATGTTAGAGATTGACAGGGAAGAATGAAGCTTTGTGGTCCATATCAGTAAGGGGAGGTTGGTTTGTATGCCAATTTGTAATCCGTTCTCGGCATCAACACGTAAACTGTCACCAGAAGGTAAACGGGGTGTTCTCTCTTTCTGTGTTTCTCCTTATGTCTCTGTCATCGCTGTTTCTTTTCCGCGGTTGGTGTTATTTTTAGACAGACTATATCGTCAATGTTCGTTCAATTGGTCTGTCCCGTTACACTGTTTCTTCATTGTGACATCATTTCGGAAGAGAGTGTCTAGCACTTTTATTACCGTCTATCATCTTTAAGTAATGATTCATTTGTTGAGGTACATAACCTCAAAACTATGTCGGCATTCGATGACAGTCCAGATAAGATTATTTATCACAAATTTTCCTTTTTTTTAAATTATATTTTATTATTATTTTATCAGATGAAATTTTTTTTCAATTTTAATATGTATCAATTGATAATGTTTCAATTCATTGATTTCAATTTCCTATACAATTTTTTAGAAATTTTCTAATATCATATATGATTTTCAAGTTAAAACTTAAAAGAATTATCTTTTTTAAGCATCTTTTTGACATCGAAATTGTGCAAAATATTATATGTAATATATTACTTCAAAAATTTTTTTTAGTTATATTAATTATTTATAATTAAAATTATTATTATATATAAATAATTTATTCATGAAGTTTTGTTGTACAAATTATTATTTATATAAATCATAAATTTTTTATATTCTGTACTAACGATAGTGTAATATTAGCTTTTTCAATCTGATTTTTTTAAAATTAAAAATGTGTACTAATATAATTATGACATAATATAATACATCTCTATAAATAATTATGACTCACATGTTATTATAATATGTTAATTACTTGTATGTTTTTTTTTATCAATCTTCATATATAACAAAATAATAAAATTCAATCCAATTTTAATTTAAAAGTGATAATTAAAGATATAAAAAAATTTACAGTGAAATAAAATTTCAAGATAGTTTATTTTTTTGTTGTAGCTATTGGTCCTCCAACTTCCTGGAGGCCAGTGGTGTCAGTGACACTAAAGAATAATACGAGCTGCTAGCGTGAAGAAGTATAGTAAAGTTGGCTTAAGCCAACATCGGTGGAAAAAACAAAATGGCAACAATAGATGGCAGACCAACCCAATATGGTATCAGTCTTAAGCAACTTCGTGAGCTCATGGAGCTCCGAGGACGTGAAGGTGTCACTAAAGTCAATAGCTATGGTGGTGTGCAGGAGATTTGTAAAAAATTATACACTTCACCTAGTGAAGGTAAGGTTTTTTTAATTTTTTAATAATTCAGGAATATTTGATTAAAATATTTATATATAAACTTTTGTTATATAGGTCTCAGTGGATCAGCAGCTGATATTCAACATAGACGGGATACATTTGGTTCCAACCTAATACCTCCAAAACCACCAAAAACATTTCTACAATTAGTATGGGAAGCTCTTCAAGATGTTACATTAATTATCTTGGAAGTAGCAGCATTGGTTTCATTAGGTCTTAGCTTTTATCACCCAGCAGATGATGAAGAAAAACGTAAATATATATTTCAATATCTTTTTAATTATTATTTTTTATTATATATAATTAGATAATAATTTAATAAATATATTAGCATAGAGAAAATAAAAAAAAATAATTTTTTTAAACTTTTTCAGCTTTAATAGATGAAGATGAAGCAAAATATGGTTGGATAGAAGGAGCTGCTATATTTATTTCTGTGATCTTGGTGGTAATAGTAACAGCTTCCAATGATTACTCTAAGGAAAAACAATTTAGGGGCCTCCAAAGTCGTATAGAGGGGGAACATAAATTTTCTGTCATTAGACAAGGAGAGGTCAAACAGATTTCTGTAGCTGACATTGTTGTTGGTGATATATGTCAGGTATGTCTAAAAAAATTTTATATTAACAAAAACTGATATTTAAAATGAAATGGACGTTATGATTTACGATTCTCTGGTTAACTTGAAAAACCCATATTTGAATCATTATAAAATCAAATTGTTGTGTTTCAATATAGATATATTTGTATATTTTTAAATTTGATATCTCATGAACTTGTCTTCATATATGAGAACTTATTAGTAAATTACATTCATCGGTAATGAATTTTGGGATATGAATATTATTTTATCAAAAATATAAAGGTCTTCTTTAAATTGGAATCTATCTATAATTCAGATAAAATATGGAGATCTGCTGCCAGCAGATGGTATCCTTATACAAAGCAACGATCTCAAAGTGGATGAGTCCAGTTTAACCGGAGAGTCAGACCATGTTAAAAAAGGAGAATCGTTCGATCCCATGGTACTCTCAGGTGAGGGTTCTGTTTAATAGATCGAACATTAATAATTAATTACTATTAGTATTAGAATGACGATTACAATGATCTATATTTCAAAAGGTACGCATGTGATGGAGGGTTCTGGAAAAATGTTAGTTACTGCAGTAGGCGTTAACTCGCAGGCTGGTATTATCTTTACTTTGTTGGGTGCTGCTGTTGATCAACAAGAACAAGAAATCAAGAAAATGAAGAAAGGTATGTAAATTTGACTTCAATGCGAAATAATCAATGTAAATCTATTTGATTAGATTTAAATATTTTGGGATGAAATAAATTTTAAAATTATCATTTTGAAAACAGAATTTTAATAGAACAAATAATATAATTATTATTTCAATTATAACACTGAAGAGAAGAAATAATAAGAATAATTTTGTTTTCAAAATGATAAAATTTATTTTTAAAATGATAATATATCAAGTTTATTTGTGTCACTATAGTATTTTAAAAAATTAATCAAAGCTCGTTACTTCTCTCCTATAGAAAATGCTAGAAATTTTAGTTTGGATAAAAGAGATTTAATTAGTAATTATTTTAAAAGAGTAGTAGCGGGTATTATAAAGCGCATGGCAAAATACGTAAAAGAAACGTAGACGCATGGAGTTTATTTTGGATTGATGTGAGAATATTTTATTGTGAATTTAATTTTCCAATTACTTATGATATTTTTGTTTTTCTTGGCATGCATTTGCAGTATTTTAAACAATTTTCTAAATTATTTGCCAATTTCTTTTTCTTTCTTTCTTTTTCTTTTTTTTCAAATATGTTTCAAATATGTTTATAGCTTTATTGTTATTATATTAAAAAATTATTTACAATTATTAAACAAGAAAGCTTTTATATAGTTTAGTAGAAAATAAATAATTTAAGTAGTAATAGAATTTTTATAAGTTAAACATTATAATATATTATTTATCATTACTGTATAATTGAAACTATTATATTATTAGCTTATCATATCATGCTTATTTTTTTTGAGATATTTAAATTAGTCTGTATTTAATTGTAAATCTTAGTATTTCTATCTTATATCTGTCTATTTATGAAATTTTTCCATTGAATGAGTTAAACATATTTTTTATCATTACTATATTTAGATCAATTCTTACTATGAATCAATGTATTCATTTCATAAATCATTAAGAATAGTTTTTACAGAACATGGAATAAATGAAATGAAACGAGTAATTTGGATAATAGGAAGGTAATTTTATGAAAAGATGCATCGAAAATATAAATTATGATTTGTTGATAAAAAATTTTATTTTTAAGAAAATTGATTTCAAAAATTCGTGACAAAGACATTTATTTGATGGTTTTATTGCATAAAATATTATAGTAATTATTATAAATAATGATTTATTATTGCAAATTTATTATTATAATACGAGGAACATGAAATAAAATTTTTTAATAATTTTAATAATTGATTAAAAAATTATTATAATTATTTTTTTCGTTGCAAAAAATATCAATAATTGCCAAAGAGTGCATACTTTTGAAGAATTTTTATGATCAATTTTCTTAAAAACGAAGAATCACTTCTTATCTCTATATATTATTAGATGCTATATTTCTATATAATATTCAATATTAAAAATTAGAAACATAAAAAATTTTAATTTTTAAATATAATAACAAAAATCTTATCTTATTGTTCTTTATAAGGGATTAAATAGACTTAAATCCAATATAATTTATTTATTTTTTTTTATGATTTATATGTTGTATGTTGCACAATTTGGGAGGTCCTTTGAATGTTATATAACATATTTTTATAAATGATTAACAACAAATACAATATACCATAATACGGGCTAGTATTTATAAGAGAGAAATAAATCTTCTGAGCCGTTATCATTTATAATAAGCATTACGTTTGGATATATGAGGATAGAATACACGATAGAAATTGAGAGATTAAGAATGAAAGAGAATTTACAAATATGGCGTAACGACTGGCATATTACATTTTTAGATAGATTGCTAATCAATTTTGTTTTGCATGCGTTTTTTTATCTAGAGGCTAAGAAGCAGCGGAAGAAGAAGTCATTAACAGGTGAATAAAGTACTATCATAAATCATTATTGTTCATTATTCAATGTTCAATATTTACGTATACATTAAACGAGCACGCGCGCGTACTTTTTTTTCTTCTTTTTTTTTTTTTTTTAAATTTTAATTCACTTGTTTTTCTTTCTTTCTTTTCTTTTTTCTTTATAAATTGTCTTTTATTTTTCTAGAAAGTGCACGTGACACAAAAAATTTTCAAATTATAATCAAAAATGTATAGGAGAATTTCTGATTTTAAATTTTTATCCTTTATATCACTTTGTCTATTCTGTTTATTGCACTATACATATACATATATACTGTATATGCATATGCAGAATGTTTTAGGACAGGTGGTATAAGCGAGCAGAGGGTGATTCTACATGCAAAAATGAGTCGAAAGAAAAGACTATAAATTTTAAGTCATTTAAGGCTTCATCTTCGAGTAAATCAAGTTTGAAAATTTGACAATTGGATACGAATCAATTATCGGTAAGAGATTATTCTACATGTGAAAATAAGTAAAAAGTTTAGAATAACATTTTGTCGTTTGAGTCCTCGTTCTTTTATATATATATATATATATGGAAAATCGAGATTACTTTCAAATTTAGATTTTCTTGAAAAGCAAAAATTTTATTCTGTATTTTTTACTATTTATATTTCTATTTTCATATGTAGAATAATCTTCTTTCAATAATTTACGTATATCTAATTGAAAATTGATTAAATTTGTACACATACATTTGACAAATTTTTAAATTCGATTTTCTCGAAAACGAAGTGTCAGATGAAAAAATATTATTCTTTTTTTTTCCATGTAGAATAAATTTTCATACATTTTAAAATGTAGAAATATCTTATAGCGCGAGTCACATGTGTTATAAAGTTGTCTTCTTCAAAATTTAAAAATATTATAGATATTGAGATAATTTATTTATTAATTTATTTCAATTAGAGAGTTCATCATTTAATAATACAAATGGTTTTGAAGAAATTTAAATAATTGTTCCGAAATAATATTCCATTTTTCTTTTTTTAATACTCTTTGTATTATTTTCGATTATTATTTATATAAATTTTTCGAGAAGAAAATAATTATACAAATTTAGATTGTTGTAAAAATGAATATATATATATTTTTGCAATTAAATAGAATATATTTTTTTCCCTATTTAGAGAATTAAATTGTTCAAACCTAAAAATAAATCGTTGAAAAATTTGTTTCAGCTTAAACTCTAATATAAATCACATAATTAAAAATAACAATTATATCGATATATGTAGTGATTTTAGAGAAAACAATTATAACATCTTATGTGACTTATCCTGTATACATATACACGTATATGCAACACGAAGAGAGTCTTATTTTTCCTAAAAATTGATCTATATTTTTTTCTTTCACTTCCGTCCTATTTCGTCTTCTTAGTATGCCCTCGTATGAATTGAATGAGGAAGATTTGCGAAAAAAAAAAAAAAAACAATGAAAAAATAGAATCGTATCTCATCCGTGCTTCTCTGTACTTTCTCTGTATTTACGTTTGATTTTGTGAATGCTTTCAAATAGCAATGGATTTATGCATATTTAAAGAGAAATCTTAACCGCTACTATACACTTTTGTATAGCTTTTGATTATTATTTTTTTTGTAATGATCTCTCTCTCTCTCT